GCGTTCAGTGTAGTGGGGGGATTTGGAAGTGGACAGAATTGTGTGGTATCTTGCGGTATCATTTAGTCTGAATGAATGAGATTGTTGCATGTGGCTAAGAGAATTTAGTGGAGTGGAGGTTAATACACTTACCAAATTCATCGGATTCACGTCTAGCTAGTGAAGTATCGCACCGTTTTATTTATTTCTTCTGAAGTCTTTTTGTGCATACAGGTGACGATTCTTCGTCTAATGTGTTTTTCGTATTTTCAGAGGTGAACATTTCTTATTTGATACAGCAGTTCTTCGATCAGAGTTTTGTAGATGAATTCTGGATAGATTAACTCGCTAAGGTCACATATTTCTCTTACTTTAGGAATAAAAGTCAACAAGCAATGTATTGCTGGTTATTCTCAAAGACATGACACACACAAACATATTCCAAATACTCATGAAGATCTTGATGTATACATCCACACTAGGCCACTTTCATGACACTGTTACTTTGACTTCAAACACCTCAGGAAGGATATCTTAGCAACACGCTTTCTGCTCACTGGATATCACTTTCCAAATATAACAAGTTTGAAAGATGCAAGTATAGAGGTGGGGGATGTGAAGCTGTCAGTGGATTTCATTTCACTTCTCTTGGTTTATTATCATTATGGAATATTTTCAACTCAACCGATAAGTAGTCACTTGTGTGTTTTGCATTACATTATGGTAGTCAGCGTGAAAGTTGATATCCTCCTGGTATTTGTCTAGTAAGCAAGCAGATATGAATATATCTCTCTGTCACGTCAGTGTGAGCCACTGAATCAAGTGAAATTAGAGAAGACACATTTGAATTCTTCCAAATCATCACACATGCATACATAACTCACTTCAAGAGTCACAAGAGTAACCTCCCTCCTCTACTTAGAAGCATGCTCACCATCAAGTAACAGTGTTTTACTCTCAACATTCTCAATAACAACGTGAGAGATAGTTCTATCTGTCAATTTGACGATAATGCTCGTTAGACTAACGAAACAGTAATTCTGAACAGGATTTGCATGTCTGCGTTTGAAAACCGGACAATGCTACAGTAATGGTGTTGGCCAGTGAAGATAATATTTCTACATTGATCAGAACTAGGAGTGAGGTTAAGAAGCACTTCCATAATGGTCCCCTCCTTCATATGCATAGATTACATTCCTAAATCCATTTTCGGAGAATACTCGGCTGATAACATTTGACAGAAACTCAGAGTTTGTCAAATTATCGTCAAGCGACCCAGAGATGAGATACTGTCCAACGAATAAAGTGAAAATTTTCACAAGATAACTGATATGTACCCACAATCCATCTCATTGGTGTACCAGTCAAATAAAAATAAATCACATGTTGCATGATGGAAGTCCACTACCAATCAAAAACCAGCCTGCAGTAGCGCCTACTATTCCAGCTTTGTGACTAGATCAATATATGCTATACAGTTTTTTACCCTTCGTTTCTTTCTGTCACAAGTTTCGGAAATACACGTTTCTAAACATATTGTGTGTGTTCTGGATTTTACTAGTTCCAGACGGGAGAATAATCGACCACACATAAAAGTCTATCACTGAGTAATGAGGGGAGGCGCTAGCGATTCGTCAGCATAAAAGATTCGTTTAATGTTTGATTCTTCCATAATTTTAAACTGTTTCCTAGCTGTCTGTGATTCTATTCCTAAACATTAATACACTATTGTCACTCTTACATGCTCCTTTTAAGCTTTCTATTAGGTTTCATTTGCTCATCTTTACAACACTTGTCAAGAGGACACGCAATAACACCATTCCTTCTCATCTAATAACAACAATTGGAAACCCTTACTTCTATTGTGTTATTGACTATTACATAGCTTCTTTTGACCTTCAGAAACTTTCTCCGGCGGTCTGTCTAAAAACTGGAAGGAAGGGAAAAACCTTCATCATTACACGGCATATAGTTCCTCTCGGACAGTTTGTTTTAATCTATTACGATATGATTTCCAATGGTATTCTAAACTCTGACGAGTATTTGAAATATTTGCAGCTAGCTGATTCGCAAGTTTCTACTAAACCATGGGTGGAAACATATCCCAATACACACGAGATAATTGTTCTTAACATCTTTTGGCACAAACTACTGTGATGAGAGCTATATGCTAGCCAAATCTTGGTCATGAGAAACAAACACTAACTCAACAACCAATCACAGCAGACTTCGAGTGGGCGGATACGATTAACAGCTTTATCAACGAACTCTTAGCCACAAAGAGATGACAGAATAACCTTCAGCAGGAAAACAACCAATCAGAAGACGTTGCTTCTCTGCTAACAATAACGAATGATAATATACATAAATTCTCAATAAATGATCTGTTCCCTGACCCTTGTCTTCTGTCGTTACACCAATACTGCCTTAAATATAAAACTAACTACCTGAAGTCTTCAATTATTCAATGCGTCATTGGGCCTCTTGCCTCTATTTAAAGCAGCTTTTAACTAAATTTCCAGCACTTCTCGATGGAGACGAGGAAGAAATATCATAAGGCATTGGTTTACGTTTCAGGTCAGACGGACATTGTGTCACGCAACCTACTATCAATTACTCCTTTAATTGAAGACCTCGCATATAAAAAAACTAAGGCGCAATAAATTCCACTGTAAATCCTGTGCAGCATATATAAATACTGTTCAGAATAAAGATACTATTATTTTTATTATTTCAAACCCCAATATGACAATAATAGACTGCTAAGTGTTCTGTTTGTCGCCTACACATTCGATTGTCACTTTGACCTTTGAAACACTTTTACACGTGTATTCAGATGCTGGCATGGTTTTTAACTCAGTCTGAAATGGTGTCGAAAATCGACTCGTTTGGTTGGGACACTGAAAAGGAGGGAGACCTTAGAAAATCCAGGCATACCGTAGATGTCAGACAGTCGTCAATATCACTTAAGTTATAATGGAGAAAGGAGATGGCATTAGCTTGCTAGAAGGTGAAGCCTGTCAATGGATAATAGACTGAATGCTGTTGATTATGATCACCACTCTAATAACAAAACTACACTAGACAACGCTTAAAATTCTGTAGAGGGATCATATTGTAGCCGTAGAAGACAAGAGAATTAGCAACGGAATGTTTACTTAGAGTTCGACATTTTTTTATATAAAGGAATTATATACACCTTTTATGAAAATCGTCATTTGCTCAGATCTTCCGTGTTCTGCTGCTGCCCTTCGTATTGCGTTCCCTCGCATTCTTTTGATGGCTTCCATGTTTCGCCACAATACTGGTTCATCATTTCCTCTCTTCGACGTGAAATCCATATTCCCGCTCTCTGATGTTTTTATGCCGATGAACTTATCTGTACATACTACTGATAATTCTTGTCAGTAGTACACGCCAAAATTATGACTGGACAGTGATATTTCCAATTGTTTCAGGTTACTTCTTTCCTTATTCATTCTTTTAGTTAGCAGTTGCATGCAACTTCATAGCATATCTCATCCTGTCAGTGCAATTAAATTTGTCATAATATAATCCCAGGTCCCCTAGACAGTCCTATTTTAAAGACACTTTCTGTCTTGTCTTACAACCTACAACCCATATTCGCGCATGTGAAGACCAAGAGAACATTCACCTAAGTTGGCATAGAGGTTCTCACATTTGATATAACTGGACCTCTGGTTATCAATTACAATCAACCTTCACATAGCTAAATTACGTCTTAAGGCTATTCCTCTGAACTATCCTATTCAAGGGTAGGCTGTGTTGTGATGCATGAATATCAATGCCTATTTGTTTCTTAAAATATTTCTATATTACAGAAATCGTTAATTCACTCTGATCGACCCATTGCACTTGATATCGTATTTGATAAATAAAATACCTCGCCTGAATGACTCACATGGAGCAGTAAGCTTAACAAAGATTTTCTCTGAGTGAGTTTATCAGTGAAAGTCCCGTGGTTAGCTAATATCCAAAATCTTCTTCCCGCCTCCAATGACACTCATAACCCAACATGATTAATTCATCACTCTTTTCAAACGTTAAGTCAGTCATCGTGTCTTATACACACAAACACACACATACATCAACTGTACATAACCAAGACGAAACAGTATAGTTGTGAAATAAGCGTGAGACAGTAACAACACAACTGGAAACATGAAATACACACTATGATAAGATGAATTTCTGTTAAAATGAAAAGAACTTAGAGTACATGAGTTAGCTTGTAGAGATGTGATTAGTTTCAAATTGCTCATGGATTGATGACAGTTAAAGAACCATTGAAAACCAGAGAGTCTTGGCCAGCCGTCTTGTCCAGGTTCCAACTCTTCGGCAGTACGCACCCATGATCCTATCCACAAAGGATCAAACCCAGAGCCTCCAAGTTACCACGCCAAGCTGATTGACCATTCAGTCACTTTGGCCGGAACCAAACGGACCATCAATTGTTACTTCTGCCGATTCTCGATTTGAGCACTACAGACGCCATCCAACCTGGTGAACTTACTCACCGATCACGACTTCTCACTAGAACTTCAGGAAGCCCGAATGACTTGGGTTCAACTCGCAGTGGGATCGTAAGTGCGTAGGACGGAACAGCTATCCACTACTCCCTGATGGCTTTTACAATGGTTCCAGAACTGACATCAATCCGCGATTAAACCCTACAATACGGCTTGACAATTTCTACGCCAGTACATTTCATCCATGTCTCAGGTAACCACACCATCCAACAACTATTTGTTTATTAATAGCAGTCAAGAGGTAAAATTCAACAATAACAAAAAATTTCGGCAATTTACACCTCATGATACACAAACAGATATTATTATGACGAAAATGAAACTTGATCACACAACACAATTTATTTCCCAGGGATTTTCTGTTACCACCATTGAATATAAAAGTATAAAATATAAACAAATATATTTGTAGAACTTTTGTAGTTAAACATCACATACGTTTAGGAAATCTGGAAATGTACACAGTTAGTGATAGTGAGAGTAAGTTTTATCCTGTAAATAACTTTGAATTGATTCTTGAGTGGGTGTCGGTGGTGGGTACCGTTGGAAGGGAGGGTGGGACACAGCAATAATAATAGTAAAATAAAAATAATCCCATCTAACAGGTAAAAGCACTTCATCTGTAATAGAATAAAAATGACTGCTGTTCATTCAGCTGTCTGCTTTGATTAATTTTTCGAAGAGATCATTCTTTATCTTCAATAGAAAGAATAATAATAAAATAAGCAACACATACATGACATTAATTTATTCTGCAATGAAAATAAACAGTAGACAGCGTTACAAAGTTAGAATATACAAGAGGTTGCTTGCAAGGATTTCGTGGTCTGTTTCTCTAGTTTGATCATATCAGTTAGAGAACCATTGAAAACCAGGTAGGAGGGAGTACTGGACAGTTGTTCCATTCGCGTAGTTTGGGACTCATTCGTAGTACGCGCCCACCGCCAGGATCTTCCGATTGCAAGGCGCGCTCCCAGACCATTCAACCACTCAGACCCGAATCAACGGCTAAACCATGAAATTTAAACTTCTAGCTGGTGGTTACGCTATAATCACGAATCGGTAGAAGCTAGAATTCATGGGCCATTGGGTCGGGTCCCACTGGCTGAATGGTCTATGATCTCGAATCCTGGAGGTGAGTACATACTGCCTATTATTCTCAAAATAGGCGGACGAGACAGCTGTCCAGTACTCCCTAGTATTCAGTGATTCTCTTACTGACATCAATCAGTGATCAAACTTGAAAAGTTAGAATAATCAACACTGTCATGTTGGCATTGTTGATCTCTGTGATCTGAATGATTTGGTTGCAGAGTGTTCAGTCGCCTACTAGTCAACATCTTCAGTCCCAGTTTCAATTGGCAATTGTCGTCTACAAGAACAATGAAGACTTCTTCATTACACCATGGTATCCACTTTACAAAATATAACAACACTAAAATCACCCTTGACAGTTCACATCAGGCATCGAGTAAGGTTCAAGGAGTCGACGAGAATAACACATTCCCATTTAGTTACCATTATTAGGGGTTGGAATTCAGCAGTCAATGAATTCAAACTTCTGTCAAAGCAAACCTCCATGCTTTTCAATTATACGCTAATTGATGTCGTTTTCACACAAAATCGATCTTGCACTAATCACTTCCCTCGTACTTGGAACTTTCGTTCTTCTCAAAAATTTCCTAGTGAACAACATCACGCGCTCAACGAGGAAAGAAATCGACTAAAATAAACGGAGTATACGAATTACAGTGAAGCCAAAGCAATCACGAAAATATCGCAGAGAGTGGGTATTTAGCCTAATAACTGAAGGATAATGCACATCATCCAAGAAGGCTTTGGACAGATGGAGAGAGTATAGGGGGGCGGCACTTATTCCTGTGATCTACCATTTACCGAGAAAACAACAGCTGCTCATGACACCCACAACAAGATGTTAAACGTGTAAACGCCCTTCTTACGCTCTTATACTTTGTTTAGCCAATTCGTTGGAAGGCATAAAGCAGAGAGAACACTGACAGTTTTGGCTGTTATAATCCTAACGAAACAAATGGCGTTGAAACACCTCCGATTGTTGTCGTCAATATTCTCAGCTGTGTTACGCTGCCAATAAACACAACTACTAATAGCCTTCAACACAGGTGAAGTTAAACTTTAGACACCCTACGGGTGCGAACTCACCAGTGACCTACGACGTAACCATCAAGCTATGAAGCTATTCATTAATTGAAAATGCCCGATTCAATGGTCTCGTGTGTTAAACCTGACGAAGACGAAGTATTCCCATATTGTCTTTTTATATGGGATAAATTGGAATTAGGGTACAAGGATTCATCTTTGAGGAGGCATTATGATGACAGAATGCCTCATCTCGGTGGAAGTACTGATGATCATGCTACCAGTCGTAGTGATTGTCACAAGTGAGTTAGTGTCAAGAATAGTAAGTTATTGAACACATTATTCCAAGTGAAAATATTCTGCTAGGTTCAGTAATCTAAATTTTATGTGTTTTGCAATTACTGGAAAACGAAGCATGCTGTGAATGCTGCAGCTACTACGATGTAGAACTCTTTCCGTATCAACAGTTCAATAGTAACAGCATTTCAGAGGTATTATCTAATAAAAGATGGTATATATAACATTGGGCGTATAATTAGGCAGGTTCATGATCGGTATTTCCGAACTTTATCCCTCATAGTTACAAACAAGGGGTTAAGAAGATTTATTCATAGCTCTGTATTAGTACACTATGTAGACACTGAGCATAAAGTTGATATAGTACAGCATTTAAAGTTATTTACGGCGTTCCAACTAATCCAAATTTTGTCTTATGAATTTGTCTTCTACATACAGCTGAAGCCATCGGAATCCACCCAAAGAAGCCAGCCAGACCCATATGTTCAGAAGAAATTCGTAGACAGTCACTTTCAATACCTTAGCCGTCGTTACATGGCCACTTCTGTCTGTCTGTCTGCTTTCGACATAGAACTTTGCATCGATGTGCAGCAGTTCAAGTCGCCACACTCCATGTAGCACACAAAGCAAGAGAAGAAAGTAGAAAAAATGTATAATAGAGACAGTAAACAGAGGTGTGAGACAAAGGAATAGTAATAACGAAGAACGATATAGTTTCATTTGAAATCATAAGTCACAAGGAATGGATGCATCTGCGCCATTGAGAACGATTTCGAGCCATATCACCAATTTTTTCCAGCCACTTCACCCTCCGCCTAAACCTTTTAAACAATATGATTATCCAAATGACTTTATAATTTTTTCGACTACTTCACATCTTTAACTGCAAGTTAACATTGTCCATATTACTTGCCTTTTCTTTATTCACCTATTTTACCAGCACCTTATAAACACATCTGCAGGTCAAACCATTTTCAAAGAATAAGGTGATAGAAAACGAAGAAGCAGAATAAAATCAATAGTGTTTGAGGGAGATTAATCAAAATAAAAGTAAACTATTTGACTGAGTAAAGGGATTAATCCAAGTTGTTTATATTACTCACTTTGTTATACAACTTTTCATATGTTCACTTAATCGATACTTCGTAGCATACTTTTTATCACAATTGCTGCATGAAAAATATACACCTTCAAATAAATAAGTAAATATAAAGTCAGTCAGTCAGTCAATCAGCAGGTCGGTTAGATCACATCAGAGTAGAAATTGACAAAAACATGAAATAATAACAATAATAATAATAATAGACGTCTTTGAAATAATAGAAAGGATAAACAACTGACAAGATAAATAGCAGTCTATAAAAATTAACATGTGACAAGATGACCGGCAACCTGGATGAGAAACTCACTTCATTTTTCTCCATAATGGATAAGATTTTATTTTGATAAATCACACAGTGTTGTACAGTAATATTAACTGATGACGTTTCGAGCATAAACTATTGCCACTCATAATCATATCAAGTTACTCACACAACTTCTTTCCTTCATTTATATACATGTGTGGAATCGATTAGATATTGGAATAAAATTCAATATGAGATAATGTACATTCAGAAATAATAGTACGAGTGTTATTAATCCATTACAATTAGATGAGAAATACGACGAGTGTTTTCATAGTCATAATAAGTTAATTATTAGAATGTTATGATGTGTTTGAATGGAAATAGAATTTTTCAGATTATTTATTATCCTCTTCTGATCTGACCATTGTTTCGTCATTTGATAGTGGAATGTCATTTAGTTTACTTTTCATCTCATATGAATTAGTTAATGGTCAGTTTTGATATAACTAGTCTTTACACTAATATACCACTCAATATGGCCTTAGAAGCGGTTAAAAGACAACTAACTTCTGATTCCGAACTTAGTCATAGGACAAAGCTGCCCATTGAAGAAATTATTTTACGGATTCAGTTATGCCTCACATTTACTATCTTCAAGTTCCAAGGCAAAATATATAGACAAACAGAAGATGTAGCAATGGGATCACCAATATCCCCTATTGTAGCAGACATTTTTAAGGAAAGCTGGGAAAGTAGTGCTCTTAATACATTTAATCCTACACCAAAAATATGGTGGAGATATGTGGATGACACTTTCACAGTGTTAAAAACAGAACATATCTCTAGCTTCTTAACACATAAACTCACAAGTAGAAGGAACAAAATTCACATCTGAATCAGAAAATGAACAAGGAGAATTAACCATGTTAGATTGTAAGATGAAACGAATAGAAGAAGGCAAACTACACACTAGTGTTTATAGAAAACCAACGCATTCTAATAGATATTTAGACTTTAATTCGTCTCATCCGTTAACAGTTAAGGCAGGCTTAGTGAAGTGTCTGACAAACCGAGCCATAGCACTAAGTAGCACAAAAAAGGACCTGAATGACGAAATAAAACAGATAGAAGAAGCGTTGGTGTTAAACAACTATCCTTTAAAATTCATTAGGAATATCAGTAAAGGCCAAAAATAAAGTAAAAATAATTGTGTAACTAGTAGTAATAACATAAATAAGAGAGAATATAAGTCTTCTACTGTTATACCATATAAGGAGGGGACATCTGAGGCCCTACGTAGGATTCTCAATAAAGCAGGAATTAAGGTGGCATTCAAACCCACAAACTCACTCAGAGGTTTGTAGGTTGAAAGACCCGGTGGACCCAATTAAACAAAACAATATAATTTACAAAATACCCTGCAATGACTGTGAAGTCAACTACATAGGTCAAACTAGTAGGTCAGGGATAGTCAGATCATCAGAACATAAGAATTTAGCTAAGGGAAAAATGATTGACCCTGAAAAGATAAGTAATTTAGAAAAAAGATAAGCAATTGCACTTCACACATTAACAAACAACCACACAATAGGGTGGGACAGGGTTAAAATTCTAAAAAGTAATATAGATAGATGGAGAGAGAGGTTGATTACGGAATCCTTATTCATCGAGTCTACACCCAACACATGCAACAGAAGTGACTCAATGCAAATACCAGAAATATGGAAGATATTATTACCGCCGGTCAAATCAGAAGAGGATAATAAATAATCTGAAAAATTCTATTTCCATTCAAGCACATCATAACATTCTAATAATTAACTTATTATGACTATGAAAACACTCGTCGTATTTCTCATCTAATTGTAATGGATTAATAACACTCGTACTATTATTTCTGAATGTACATTATCTCATATTGAATTTTATTCCAATATCTAATCGATTCCACACATGTATATAAATGAAGGGAAGAAGTTGTGTGAGTAACTTGATATGATTAAGAGTGGCAATAGTTTGTGCTCGAAACGTCATCAGTTAATATTACTGTACAACACTGTGTAATTTATCAAAATAAAATCTTCTCCATTATGGAGTTATACCTTACCATAGTGCCCAAGTTTTATACTTATATCACTTCGTTTATGTTTTCTAGTTGAACGGTGACCACTGACACAACTGTGTCACAACAGTCAATAAGTGTAATATATAATTTGAGTTATTTATTCACCTATATCTATTTCACATTTTTATTCCGCCTTTGGTTTTATTCTTCTTGTAACCGAGATGACGGTAGACTCGGGGATTTCGTTCTACAAATACTTTCAGGGCAGGACATTAAACGACTAATCACTCGAATAGTGCTCTCATACTACGACATGGATGACTGAGTGACAAGGCAGAGATTTACTGTTCTCCATAGAAAGCACAATATGACCAGAAATTATAGTTAACAATATACTTACTTTACATGATCAATAAATTAGAAGGTTTTAAGACGTAAAAATTATGTTGTCAATGGATAGCATATGTGCTAGTAAAAATTCAACAGAAAACGGATCTAGAGACCGCAGTGGATATCCTGACATCACTATTCAAAAAAGTTTAAAAGGAAGGAAAGGTACCTACTGATTGGAAGAAGGGCAATCTTATCAAACTGCCAAAGAAGGACGACTCACGCCTCTACAACAACTAACGCGTAAATAAGCTCTTCTCCACACCGAGCAAAATATTAAGTCGCGTCATCCTGGAGAGAATGAAAAATACAGTGGACAGAGAACTCCGCCTGCACAGAATGACGTGGATTCAGGAAAGGCAAATCATGTGAGGATCAAATTGCAAGTTTACGCATTGTTATCAAACAGAGCATAAAGTGTTTGTTAAGTCTATCTCTCTTCCTCAATTCCATCGACTTTGAAAAGGCTTACGACAGAGATGACCATGAGGTAATTTAGAAACTGGTTCATCACTACAGGCCACAGTGTCATCCTGACTGACTAACCGGTTTCAACATAGAACTTTACACCGATGTGCAGCAGTTCGAGTCGCTACTCTTCACTTAGCACACAAATCAAGAGATGAAAGTAAAAGGAAATGCAAAACAGAGATCAGAGGCAAAAAGACTATAATTATTGAGGAACAATATAGTTTTATTGGGTATTATAAGTCACAAGGAGTGGATGCATCTGTGCCATCGTCGAGGACGATTTTGAACCATATTTCACTTATTGTCTCCAGCCATTGGTTTTCACCATGCCGAGGACCCCAAACAGGAAGCCTTCCTACGTGGCTTAAACTAACTGTTGTACGTTTCATTGACTGATGGAGCTGTGTTTTGATTTGACCACCGCTGGCTCTTTTCCGACCTGATCCTATAGCAGCTAACATTGCACGTCGAGGAAGGCGATGGCTAGGCACGCGTAACACATATTCGAACCATCTCAATTGATCTAACTTCACAGCCTCGTCAACTGATTTCCCCTCTTTACCTAGCACTCGACGTCTAACCTCAATATTGCTTACCTTATTATACCACCTATATCGCGAGATAGAACGCAGACAACTATGTTCAATGTAATCCAGTTTTTTATCAACAACTTACATTTGGTGGAAGCGAATGCAGTGTCATAAAAATTTATCAATTTCTTTCAACAGCTACATGACACTGATACATGCCACGTGAACTACAACTGAAAACTCAGAGAAGCGTTTGAAGTGAATACACGAGTATGAAAAAGCTCACTGCCTATTAACACCGATCATATTTATAATTGTGATGGACTGGACTATGCGAAAGACTGTCTGTCAGGAGCGAGAAGACAAAAATACATTGTGCCAATAAGACTCGAGAAGATCGGGATTTCACGGACGATTTACTTGTAAGGTCATATAAATTCGAAGACCTACAGGCAAAAGCAACAAGTTGACAGAAGAAGCAAACAGCGAAGACGTTGACTTCAAGTAAATATAGAAAAGAAAAATGTGATGAAGATAATCAACCAACCAACGATCACTATCAGCGGAATAAACTTGAAAGAGATTGCTTCCTTCATTTAAACAGGAAGCATCGTTTCAAAACCAGGCAGCCAGTAAGGATGAGAATGTCAAAATCAGAACCGGAAAGCAAGGCACACCTTGATCACTTTGAAATCATTCTGGAAATCTGCTACACTCACCATAAAGAACAAAATTAGAATTTGCAATAATAATTTTAAGTCAGTTCTTCTGCATGGGTTAGAAGCTTGGAACATCACGACAAGGACTTCCAACAGACCACTGCAAACTTTTATCAACAGTTGCATTCGCTAGCTCCATACTGCAGATCAGATGACCACAAAGAATTAGCAACAAGAAACTCTGGGAACGAACCAGCAAGTGAGAACCTATTGCTTAATATGTATACAGGAGGAAATGGAGATGGATAAGACACACACTTAGGAGACCACTGGGTAACATTGCATGCCAGGCCATCACTTCAGTGGAACCCAAATGAGATATGACGAACTGGAAATCAGTGCAAGGATCACATGGGGATTAAAGCTTATGGGCAGTCATGGTGACAGCTAAAGACTGAAGAGAATCCGACCAAAATGGAGATATCTTGTTGGTGCCCATTGTTCCACCCAAAAGAATAATAATAATCAATATAAATCCATTGACATCACCTTTAAATGTCTGGTTTACAGATCACCTTCCTGCTTAACAATTCTTTATTTCAAGTCTGGTGTGTTATAGATGACAATTCAGCTGGTTAACACGTTTAATCAATCAATCAATCAATCAGTTAGTCATACAATAAGCAAATCTCTAAGTCCACTGACTGAGTGATTATGCAATACATTTCAACATTCCAAAAAAGAAAACAGTTCGGTCAGCACAAGTGTTGACATGAATAAACACATCCACACACATACACACACACATATGACTCACCTTTATGATGCACCTGTACATGTTGCTTAAGGAAATTTTTAGTGGAGTATGTTTTATCGCACTGGGGACAATTGAATTTTTCACCTATATACAACAACAACACAACAGAGAATAACACAAAATAAACAAAAATGGATATAGTGAAGAGGAAACTTTTTCTTGCCTATATAAAGTGAGAAATTCAAATGATAAAAAATGCAACGAAGGTATATAATGTCAACTGATAACTCTGCCGATAATTTTTTTAAGAATTAGAAATAACGTCATATTGTGGCTAGTGCTACTAACAAGATTTATCAGTAGTATGTAAGGAGAGATTCAACTGCATAAAAGCAACCAAAGAGCGAGATGGCATTAACTTGCTAGAAGGTGAAGCCTGTCAATGGATAATAGACTGAATGCTGTTGAAATGATCAAATATCCAGCGATTATGATCATCACTCTAATAACAAAACTACACTAGACAACGCTTAAAATTCTGTAGAGGGATCATATTGTAGCCGAAGGAGACAAGAGAATTAGAGACGGAATGTTCACTTAGAGTTCGACATTTCTTTATTTAAAGGAATTATATACACTTTTTATGAAAATCGTCATTTGCTCAGATCTTCCGTGTTCTGCTGCTGCCCTTCGTATTGTGTTCCCTCGCATTCCTTTGATGGCCTCCATGTTTCACGACAGTACTGGTTCATCATTTCCTCTCTTCGACGTGAAATCCATATTCCCGCTCTCTGATGTTTTTATGCCGATGAACTTATCTGTACATACTACTGATAATTCTTGTCAGTAGTACACGCCAAAATTATGACTGGACAGTGATATTTCCAATTGTTTCAGGTTACTTCTTTCCTTATTCATTCTCTTAGTTAGCAGTTGCATGCAACTTCATAGCATATCTCATCCTGTCAGTGCAATTAAATTTGTCATAATATAATCCCAGGTCCCCTAGACAGTCCTATTTTAAAGACATTTTCTGTCTTGTCTTACAACCTACAACCCATATTCGCGCATGTGAAAACCAAGAGAACATTCACCTAAGTTGGCATAGAGGTTCTCACATTTGATATAACTAGACCTCTGGTTATAAATTACAATCAACCTTCACATAGCTAAATTACGTCTTAAGGCTATTTCTCTGAACTATCCTATTCAAGGGTAGGCTGTGTTGTGATGCATGAATATCAATGCCTGTTGGTTTCTTGAAATTAACTGAAGTTCATATTTCAACATAAATCTATATTCTAGAAATCGTTAATTCACTCTGATCGACCCGTTGCACTTGATATCATATTTGCTAAATAAAATACCTCGCCTAAATGACTCACATGGAGCAGTAAGCTTAACAAAGATTTTCTCTGAGTGAGTTTATCAGTGAAAGTCCCGTGGTTAGCTAATATCCAAAAACTTCTTCCCGCCTCCTATGACACTCATAACCCAACATGATTAATTCATCACTCTGTTCAAACGTTAAGTAAGTAATCGTATCTTATACACATATACACACACATAGCTCAACTGTGCATAACTAAGACGAAACAGGATAGTTGTGAAATAAGCGTGAGACAGTAACAACACAACTGGAAACATGAAATACACACTATGATAAGATGAATTTCTGTTAAAATGAAAAAAACTTAAGGTATATGAGTTAGCTTGTAGAGATGTGATAAGTTTCAAATTGCTCATCGATTGATGACAGTTAGAGAACCATTGAAAACCAGAGAGTCTTGGACAGGTTCCAACTCTTCGGCAGTACGCACCCATGATCCTATCCACAAAGAATCAAACCCAGAGCCTCCAAGTTACCACGCCAAGCTGATTGACCATTCAGTCACTGTGGCCGAAACCAAACGGACCATCAGTTGTTACTTCTGCCGACTCTCGATTTGAGCACTACAGACGCCATCCAACCTGGTGAACTCACTCACCGATCACGACTTCTCACTAGAACTTCAGGAAGCCCGAATGACTTGGGTTCAACTCGCAGTGGGATCGTAAGGGCGTAGGACGGAACAGCTATCCACTACTCCCTGATGGCTTTTACAATGGTTCCAGAACTGACATCAATCCGCGATTAAACCCTACAATAAGGCTTGACAATTTCTACGCCAGTACATTTCATCCACGTTTTAAGAAGCACACCATCAATCAACTATTTGGTTATTAATCGCAGTCAAGAGGTAAAATTCAACAATAACCAAAAATTTCGGCAATTTACACCTCATGATAGACAAACAGATATTATTATAACGAAAATGAAACTTGATCACACAACACAATTTATCTCCCAGGGATTTTCTGTTACCACCATTGAATATAAAAGTATAAAATATGAACAAATATATTTGTAGAACTTTTGTAGTTAAACATCACATACGTTTAGGAAATCTCGATATGTACACAGTTAGTGATAGTGAGAGTAAGTTTTATCCTGTAAATAACTTTGAATTGCTTCTTCAGTGGGTGTCGGTGGTGGGTACTGTTGAGAGGCAGGGTGGGACACAGCAATAATAATAGTAAAATAAAAATAATCCCATCTAACAGGTAAAAGCACTTCATCTGTAACAGAATAAAAATGACTGCTGTTCATTCAGCTGTCTGCTTTGATTAATTCTTCGAAGAGATCATTCTTTATCTTCAATAGAAAGAATAATAATAAAATAAGCAATACATACATGACATTAATTTATTCTGCAATGAAAATAAACAGTAGACAGTGTTACAAAGTTAGAATATTCAAGAGGTTGTTTGCATGGACTTCGTGGTCTGTTTCTCTAGTTTGATCATATCAGTTAGAGAACCAGTGAAAACCAGGTAGGAGGGAGTACTGGACAGTTGTTCCATTCGCGTAGTTTGGGACTCATTTGTAGTACGCGCCCACCGCCAGGATCTTCCGGTTGCAAGGCGCGCTCCCAGACCATTCAACCACTCAGACCCGAATCAACGGCTAAACCATGAAATTTAAACTTCTAGCTGGTGATTACGCTATAATCACGAATCGGTAGAAGCTAGAATTCATGGGCCATTGGGTCGGGTCCCACTGGCTGAATGGTCTACGATCTCGAATCCCGGAGGTGAGTACATACTGCCTATCATTCTCAAAATAGGTGGACGAGACAGCTGTCTAGTACTCCCTAGTATTCAGTGATTCTCTTACTGACATCAATCAGTGATCAAACTTGAAAAGTTAGAATAACCAACACTGTCATGTTGGCATTGTTGATCTCTGTGATCTGAATGATTTGGTTGCAGAGTGTTCAGTCGCCTACTAGTCAACATCTTCAGTCCCAGTTTCAATTGGCAATTGTCGTCTACAAGAACAATGAAGACTTCTTCATTACACCATGGTATCCACTTTACAAAATATAACAACATCAAAATCACCCTTCACAGTTCACATCAGGCGTCGAGTAAGGTTCAAGGAGTCGACGAGAATAACACATTCCCATTTAGTTACCATTATTAGGGGTTGGAATTCAACAGTCAATGAATTCAAACTTCCGTCAAAGCAAACCTCCATGCTTTTCAATTATACGCTAATTGATATCGTTTTCACACAAAATCGATCTTGCACTAATCACTTCCCACGTACTTGGAACTTTCGTTCTTCCCGAAAATTTCCTAGTGAACAACATCACGTGCTCAACGAGGAAAGAAATCGACTAAAATAAACGGAGTATACGAATTACAGTAAAGGCAAAGCAATCACGAAAATATCGCAAAGAGTGGGTATTTAGTCTATTAACTGAAGGATAATGCACATCATCCAAGAAGACTTTGGACAGACGGAGGGAGTATGTGGGGGGGGGGGCACTTATTCCTGTGATCTGCCATTTACCGAGAAAAGAACAGCTGCTCACGACACTTACGACAAGATGCTAAACGTGTAAACGCCTTTCTTACGCTCTTATACTTTGTTTAGCCAATTTGTTGGAAGGCATAAAGCAAAGAGGACACTGAAAGTTTAGGCTGTTATAATCCTGACGAAACAAATGGCGTTGAAACACCTCCGGTTGTTGTCGTCAATATTCCCAGCTGTGTTACGCTGCCAATAAACACAACTACTAATAGCCTTCAGCACAGGTTAAGTTAAACTTTAGACACCCTACGGGTGCGAACTCACCAGTGACCTACGACGTAACCATCAAGCTATGAAGCTATTCATGAATTGAAAATGCCCGATTCAGTGGTCTCATGTGTTAAACCTGACAAAGACGAAGTATTCCAATATTGTCTTTTTATATGGGATAAATTGGAATTAGGATTCATCTTTGATGAGGTATTATGATGACAGAATGCCTCATCTCGGTGGAAGTACTGATGATCATGCTACCCGTTATAGTGATTTTCACAAATGAGCCAGTGTCAAGAATAGTAAGTTAGTGAACACATTATTCCAAGGGAAAATATTCTGCTAGGTTCAGCGTATCACTAGTCTAAATTTTATGTGTTTTGCAATTACTGGAAAACGAAGCATGCTGTGAATGCTGCAGCCACTACGATGTAGAACTCTTTTCGTATCAACAGTTCAATAGTATCAGCATTCCAGAGGTATTATCTAATAAAAGATGGTATATATAACATTGGGCGTATAATTAGGCAGGTTCATGATCGGTATTTCCGAACTTTATCCCTCATAATTACAAACATTGGGTTGAGAAGATTTATTCATAGCTCTCTATTAGTACACCATGTAGACACTGAGCATAAAGTTGATATAGTACAGCATTTGAAGTTATTTACGGCGTTCCAACTAATCCAAATTTTGTCTTATGAATTTGTCTTCTACATACAGCTGAAGCCATCGGAATCCATCCAAAGAAACCAGCGAGACCCATATGTTCAGAAGAAATTCGTAGACAGTCACTTTCAATACCTTAGCCATCGTTACATGGCCACTTCTATCTGTCTGTTTGTTTTCGACATAGAACTTTGCACCGATGTGCAGCAGTTCAAGTCGCCACACTCCATGTAGCACGCAAAGCAAGAGAAGAAAGTAGAAAAAATGTATAATAGAGACAGTAAACAGAGGTGTGAGACAAAGGAATAGTAATAACGAAGAACGATATAGTTTCATTTGAAAT